CGGGGCGACGCAGTCTGCCGCTTTGCCCCTGCGAGGCTGAGCCAAGATCTCGTCGGAGACAGGAAGGGAGCCGCTCGGCGTCATTAGTGTAGGCGAGGACGAGAGTACGTAGGGAGGAAATATTTGATGTCTTCAGATCTCATATATGCACCCATGCTCCGGGAGCACCTACATGGTCGTGCATGTAATTTTAAGACTACTAGAGTGTTTTCTGTAAAGTTGTGAGGGCTCTGACCGTGGCCATTGGATCTCCAATCCAATGATTCAGGTGCTCCCGAAGCATGGGAGCACATGTGCTCCAGCAGCACCAGATATGTACTCGGAGGCGCGGGTGTTGTCTTTCCGATTTTTGACTGCTCTAGATTGATGGCGACCTCGTTAGTGAGGGCTTGCCGAGACCTTAGGCGGGGACGATTGCGGCGTCGCCATGAAGAAGAGGCTACGAGTGCATAAGAAGAGGGAGAAGGGCCAAGGTGTCGAGAGGAAAAACAACCCGGACCAGGGGACGAGGAAGAAGAGCAACAACCATTGGACTTCAATTCAACAGTTAGGAAAGAGAGACAAGGGAAATCGTGCGCCTAACCAATAGGTGCTTCCTTACTAGACTTGTCACCTTGGGCGCATTTTATTTAAACATTTTTGTGTCTCCTCTGAGAGCATCAAGTCTTGGATTTACCCTAGAGGCACATAAAGCCAAATCTTATAAAGTACATTCCCGTAACCTTTCGAAACTAGTAGATGTGCCGCGCCATTCGCCGTGTGCATCACACCACACCGCATGATGTTATTCCGTGGATCGCAGAAGATCCTTTATGTAGCCTTCCTTCGTAGATTTGGTTATGGTTGACACGGCATGATGCTATAGCAATTAAATAGAGATAATATAAAAGAAACTGGGCGGGAGACTTTTCTTGTCGATTTGTCCTCTAGATGAACTCATCAATCGCTTGTTTTTTGGTTGCGTCGCGGCTACGTATCTGTGGAGTGTTGTCAGTGTGGCGATTGGAGACAATGTCAAATATGGATGTCTTCCTTAATATTTTCATTGAATGAATTCCTAGATATGTACCAACCTGTGCTAATCCGCAGATTACTGGCAGTTGATGTCTTTTTTACAAAATTTACGCCATATACATGTATTTTTGAAATATTCGGCAGGACTTCACCCGTGAGAGGGCCAAGGTGGAGCCTTGAGGCCAATGTGCAACTCATGGTTATTTTCTGCCGTGTGGGCTTCAAATGATGAGCTCCTTCTCCATTAGATGCATGATTTTGGAAGTAAGCGTTTTCAATACTTTAGGGGTGCATTTTTAGTGTTTATTTGAGAAGTCCAATGCACTTTCACTCTATTTATCTCCGCCCTTTCTCATCGGCAGTACATGATGAAATTTTCTTTTTATCTGCCGCTATTGCCGACGTTGAACACCAACCCAATAGTTCTGATTACAGCAACCGAATTAAGGCAGTGCTAGATGGGAGACGATAATGAAGATGCTTTAGGTGCTTGTGCAGAAAAATACATTTATGGTTCGATCACTGCTAGACCTGACTGTGTTTTTACGATGCATATGCACGCGCGAACATTCTTTGGATGGTTTGTTAATGTACTTTCTACTGTATTTAACTATGCATTGTATATTGTCTATATAATTTTGATAAATGCACTGATATTTTAAAAATTAAGGGACTATTGTGCCTAATACGTACGACCCCCTCCGTTCCAAATTACTTGTCATAGAAATGGATGTATCTAGAACTAAAATACATCTAGATACATCCATACCTGAGACAAGTAATTCGGAACAGAGGGAGTACTAATTAGGACTTATGGGCGTGAATAGCTGACCGGACACTAGTACTCCCTCCGTCCTGAAATACTTGTCGAAGAAATGCATAAAAATGGATGAATTTAGAACTAAAATACGTTTAGATACATCCATTCCTCCGACAAGTATTTCCGGACGAAGGGAGTAATAAAAACTTCAGCATACGGCATGGATAAACAATGGACTTCAGTAGCGAACCAACTCGGCTATTGCTCTTTGTACAATACATGAAAGCGATCTGCTCATGTGTGCGACTTTGTCTGATCATTAGGCTTTAGATTTTCTGCTGGTTTATCTTATAATTCATGGTAGCATTTGATTTTTTTTTATCAATTACTATGTCTCAGTTGTAGAACAGGACAGTAAGAGTCTAATAAAACTCTTGCACAACAAAGATTGCCATCCTTTAGTTACCCAGACCTTTGTTTTCGTGGTATAAAATCAACTGCTGTCAACTTTAGTACCCTGGAAAATCATATAACTATTTTGAAATTTCCTATGACACAAGCCGAGACAAGCATCGTAAGGATCCAGTTAGAATGATGATTGATATCCTGTTAGAGCATCTTGGGCTTCACAAGGCCATCTGAGACTCGGGCTCAATGAGAACACGATGAGGTACGTGGAAAACTCCAGAAGCACTATAGTGAAGGATCTAAACTATGACAGGCTGAGCATAATGCAGAAAGACTTTTGCTTATCTGAGACTTGGGATAGATGAGGCATTTGACATGATAAACAAGTGCCAAAGGTTACTTGTATGCTCTGAGATACATGAGCTCCTTCTCAGACCAGCTTCATAATGTGATAGCACATGGCTTTTTTCCTACCCGTGCCGTGGATACATTGACAAGCGTGACCCTTATGGATACCAAAATATAGAAGAGGTTGC